GGATGCAATCTCATTCCAGGAGTACGTCAGAGATGCACATTGACAAACAATTATAGCTTGTTTGTATATGTGCCATATCATGCAAAATGCTTGCAACCGCATAAGGAGCCTGGATACAGTCACTCTTGATTGTCCTTCCTCATGTTCACACACCAATGGGACGAAACAACTCAAAAGGGAGAAATTTCTACTGCCTTCAGCAGCTAGGGCAATGGTGAGAAAGTTGGGGAAATATGGCAAGAATGAAAAAAAAAATTCCCAATGTTAAGAAATAAATTTCCAATCTTCCCCTGGGCGTTTAAACTGCAAGCTCGGAATGTCACCAATGAACAATGACTGCATTATTCCCATGTATTTTTATATCAGTATTAGCTAATCTCACCTCATTTCTGTGCAGCTCCTGATTGTCCCCCTCCTTCCCAAAGAAACTAGATGGCACCAATTTCTGACATGAAAGTCAGAGCAGTTACTTAGCAACACAACTCGCCACTTGCTTCTCTTATTCTCTTTACTCTCACTGTGCTCTGACTTGGAGGTTATGTTGCTTATTAGCAAATCGGTTCTTCAGCAAATACTTACAGGCCTTCTCTGCCTTGCATTGCTGTTTTGCACAGAGACTGAGTTGGCAGCTTGTCACTATGCAAGCACTGAAGAGTCAAGGGGGTGGACATTTCTCTGTACAGCAATGGGTTACATTAATATCACACCTCATGCTTCAAACAAACTGACATGACTGAAAGTCAAAGGAATCCTTCATAAGATGAAAGGAGACTTTGGTCAGTCGGTTGTGTCGCCATATTCAGTTAAGAGACTCATCTGATCCCAGTCCAGGAAGTTGGCGATATTCAGTCAGACACTTGGTTGCTCTCATGTCCTTCAAGTCCAGGAATTGGGCCAGTCAGTCCAGCAGATAAACTGCAGCCATGCTGGGGGTCACAAGTGATTCAGGTGGGGTGCTGTGGAGAAATCAGCCAGGGGAGCTGGCTGTATTCAGTTGGGGGTGTCTTCCCAAGTAGTCTGGGTTATGGTCCATGATTAGTCCTGGGGTCTTGGTATTAACTGTTAGGGGCAGTCTTTGCAATCCAAGGGAGAGTAGGTAGCTCATCTGAGTTGGGGTTCATAAGACTGAGAGTCACTGAGGGAATGACAATACGAAAGGGGGCTATTCAAAATGGAAAGGTGGGCTTTCAGAGACCTTCAGATGGGACTGGAAGCTGAGGAAGAATGTGTTCTCAAAAGTCACAATCATTCTTCCCTCAATATGAGAGTGAATGGCCAAAAAGCACAAAGCAACTCGCAAAGCTATGGGTTCAGGGATAAATGGGAACATTAACAGTAACATGTGGGGCTGAACTGAAACTGCAGGAGGCATCAGGGATGCGAGAGTAACACAAAGAAGAATGGAAGGACCATTAGTGTCAGGTGGAACTGGCAACCTACTCACAAGGACTTTAAGTTGAAACTTTTCTATCTTCACATAAAATATAACTGCAGAACAAGGAGACAAAATGGTTGTCAAGGCAGGAGTAAATTACACCTTTTCTCATTAGAGGCAGAATATAATCCTTTACATGGGAAGCCACAGTAGGGGAAATTACATTAATCTTGCATCCACTTACTCAGTAATGCCACCCGTCTGCCATCAAATTAGTTTTCAGTGAAAGGTCATTATTTTAACAATAATTAACATTACAAACTATTGTCTCAAGCAATCATGGCCATTACATATTTTGCATCAACTGATGTCCTGTCATGTTAGAAATGCTAAGCCATGCAAATGCAAACTAAAAATCACTCCTAGCTTTACAATTTCTGCATCACTTTTCATACCTAATACTACAATACAATGCTTGGCAGCTGCCACATTTTCATACCGAGCTGTATGTATGAGTTGACAGTCTGTGATGTTCAAGGGATGGGTGTACTATTATGGGGGAGAAGTATATGATTTAAATCCCTGAACAGCATTTGTCCTATAGATCTGCAACATACATCTGCATAAGGTTACAAAGCTAGAGCTCCACATTGAGGGATGACCTTCACCTCCTTACAAAGGTGAAGCCTCCATGCCGCATTGAGTGAGGCCATAGCATGTTGCTTCATTGTGATTGATGTGAGGGATCAGGAATACCTTTACTGATATGCTGCTCCCTCATTCCTCACAAATTATCTGTTCAGTCAGCCAAAATGGAATCAGTGCTCAGAGATTCCTTCTGGTGGTGCTGAACATGTGACCACAGCATCAAAGATGAGATCAATTACAATGCATCATCCAGTTCTGCAAGAACAGGAGCCTCCACCAGCTGTCACACAGCCTCCAGAGGAAGGGGTAACAGTTGATGAGGCAGAGGAGAATGACTGGACTCAGAATCTACTACTGACAGTAAAACAGTGAAGGAAGAGACTAAAGAACTGCATTATCTACTGGTCCAGAAGTTGTTCTCAAAAGGATTTACTGACCACACAATCCCTGTGGTTGTGAACATTACATCTGAATATTTGATAGAATCTCGTGCCAAGGAGTAACTGGGGACCCTTGTGGCATCTCCCAATCCTCAAACTATAAACGTCTCAGGATCTCTTCAATGGCATTTCCTCTAGATTATAGTTTAAATCTGAAGTCAAGTAGCTCAGGCAGTGGAATTCTCCGATAATGTTGGCTTTCCCCATGAGCAAGGTATTATAGAGTGCACCCATGTTGCTTTCAGAGCACCCAATCAGAATTCATGAACACAAAAGGCTTTCACTCCATAACTCTCCAGCCCACCTGTGACACTGTTGCCAGATTTTAGATATGGGCGGCAGATATCCTGGGAATTGTTTGATGTGTACATACTGGAGAAGTTGCAGGTTCCGAGTTTCTTCTGAGGCCCTCAGGCCATGAAGAGTTGGCTGCTGGGAAACAAGGGCCATCCCATTCAAACATGGCTGACGACACCTATGCAAAAGGATCAGTACTACACAGAACTGAGATACAATCCTACCACCAAGGTCTTAATGGATCAGGTAATGGGCAGCATTCCCTTGAAATTTCTTTCCGGTTCCACTGGTCTCCAATGTCTATACAAGGCAGTGACTTCTGGAGTGATACATGTATCATCTATGTGCTCTCAGTAAGTTTTTTTTTCTTCTTTTCCATCCCACTACATCTAAATGCAGTCCCATTATCTACAGCTGGGGTGGAGGGATACTGCTGCAATGTTAGCCCTGTTGGCCTGGAATGTGTTGGCATGTTATCCCACGTGCAATTGAGCTGGAGGGCCTTAGTCAGCTGATCAGTATCCTGCCCAGATGCAGGCTTACACTGCTCGGCTTCGAATTCTGCATCACAGGCAGGGGGAAGTGGAAGGAACGGGCACCACAGGAGCATCCCGAGAGATAGCTCCGAAGAATCTATATGTGGCTCCTCCCCACAATGGGCAGCTGCTGTCTCCCAGCGAAGAAGGGGCACCTGAAGTGGGATCAAGATCCATTGTCCCCATCTTGCTTTGCACTTATGCTGAGCACCAATGGTGATAGCAAACGTGCCGGTCTGTGCACGTTTTCAGCAGACAACCTGTGTGCGGAGCCTGGGTTTCCATGGAGGTAGCCAAGCTGTCCATGGAGATAGTCAGATCCATGTTGGAACCAGCCTCGGCGGGTCCACTCACACCAACTGGCATGTAGACACATGGACTTTTGGTTCCAGAAGCTGCTGGTGTGCACTGATCGCAGAGTCTGCACAACAGTATGAAAAGTTAGAGGGAATGTAGCTGATCACATTAGGTTTAAACATGGCACCAGCAGTGCATATGTTACAAAACGGCTAGCACTTTTGCTATTTTCGCCACATGATTCCACAAGATGGGTGCCAATTGCATAATTTAGAACTGAAGAGTAGATGATTGCGGGAGACAAATTGACCTGGGCCATGACAGACTGCCCTCCATGCATCTCACCAAAGAAAACACTTTGCCAAAATAGTAGGAAAACAAAATCTGAAGGTTCCTCTTGCCCCTAAACTGTGGCTTATGGTCAAAAAAAACCTGAAGCTGCTCTTATCTTCAGAAGGCATGTATTGTTTGAATTGAAATAGATTGAAAGGAGATGGATGAATTCTTTCAAATCTAAATTAGATCAATTTTCATTTGAGAATGAACAGCAGCCATATCCCCTATACATTTCTGAACCACAGAACTAGGGAGTTTCACCCAGCCACTTTTCATGGCAAATACCAATGGCAACCGACAAAACAAGTGAAGTTGTGATTTTATTTCTGGTTGGTAAATATTAATCAGAAATTTACTTTACTGGCCATTACAAAGAGCTGAGGACAATGCTCATCCATCTGCAGAAAGTAGTGGAGATTGTAAACCACAACTGAGGTGTGCCAGGGTAGTAATTCGCTCATTTATTTAAAGCACCATTCATGACCAGCAGCAGTAGCAGAGAAAGAAAAACGGCATCAGCAAAATGGGCCCTATGTTGGAGATTTGATGCTGGTATACAATTTCTGTCAAACTCATTTTTAAACCAAACTGTTTACATTAGGGGACTGGCACAGTAGGAACAGTAAATAAGCTTAGGGGCATCTCGAGATGGTCTTTCTTCTTACCTTCAAGAATATAATCAGACACATTAGGGATTCCCTGAGTAATGACACTAGCCGTACAAAATTAAACTTGAAACTTTACTTCTGTTTAAGTCTCAATCATGACTCAATTGGCAGCACTTTCATCTGAGTCAAATGGTTGTGGAAAGAAGCCCACACCAAGAACCTAAACACAAAAAGAACAATACAAACTCCACTTCATAAAGTATAAGGTTTGTTAGAGCCCTCACAGACTTTTCACTGTTTTTAATGTATTCTTTTTTCAATTTTGGTTTTGAACTATAAACTGGGAACTGTGAGCTAAAGATGACTTTTGTACTGTGGGTAGCAGCTTGTGTCAAAAGGAAAATAGACAAAACAAGTTTTTTTTTATTTGTGAGACCAGAACTAGAAGTTAATTGCACGTTGGTTCCTGATCAAAGGGTTCTGCTGACACTTGATCACCAGGGAAGAGCATTCTGTTCAAATAGATAATAGAAGCTGGCCATTAATGAGGTTAGTACCTAGGAACTAGTTCCAGCAAGTTTAGAAAAGACCTTATGCTTAAGGAGACAGCAGATGTTGAATGGTAACTGGGACCTCATAGAGGATTTGGAGAGTCTGTCAGGGAGTGTCTAGAGTTTGAACTGGGTTTTCGACAGTGTGTTCTGTTTAAAAGAAATCTGGCTGTTGATGCTACAGCATGAAGATTTTGAAAGCCCTGCTTAATCTTTCTAATCAGCTCTTGGGAGTTCAGAAATTGGAAAACTAAATTATAAATATTACTGCCTTTATCTGAGTGCTGAAAAGGTGACACTGATTGACATCTTCAGAAAATCGATGAGGAAACCATTATGTCTGTGGAACAAAGCATTATGAAAACCACTTAGGTAATCAAACCAGTTTTGTTATTTTCTTTTAACCGTGTTTGTTTCTCTGTCTATCTTTTGTGTGAAACAAATATTTTTGTGTTTAAAGCATAGACAAATTGGCTTACTTTGTTGTTTAATTTTTGCTGTACTGAAGTTGTCATATTGTTAATTTGGGGGTCAGTTAGCTCAGTCGGCTCATGATGCAGAATGGCACCAGCCGTGTGGGTACAGTTCCAGCTGAAGCTACCATGAAGGACTGTCCTACTCAACCTCTCCCTGTGCCTGAGATGCGGTGATCCTCAGGTTAAATCACCATGCTCCACATGTCTTTCTCTAATGACACAGAAACCCTATGATGTGGAAAGACTATAGCGATTTTACCTTTATTGTTGTTAATAAACTGCTACGGTCTTTTGTTTAAAATACAAACTGGAGTCTGGAATTGATTATTCACAGAATCTGGGATTGATTATTCAAAAGTCGGGGTAGGAACAGCGGGTCAATTTTGAGGGTCTATCAAGTTTTTAATTTTACTGTGTTATGAATACAGAGGAAGAAAGGTTGAGTTAAATTGGCTGGCTGTCTCTATGTCGTAACAGGTTAATGGCATCTGACTTTGTAACCTCCAGTTAAAAATTAATGGGCAATGGTGAAATATCTTCAAGCTCCTCCAATGGTTCCATTGTATCCAGTAAGTAATTGAGCCCCACATCATATAAGTGGAAAGATTCACTGTCAAATCAGACCATGCCACTGATCCAAATAACAAAATACTTCACTCTTTGAGCACTGTGAAATCAAAGGATAATTCATCAAACATTCCCATAACATTACATACTGGAAGTTTGATAATGTGTTGTCTGGTAAGGAGAGGAGCATTTGTTGCTATAATGGAATATATTTTACTATAAAATTATATAGAATCTGTAAGAAAAAGATTTCAGCTTTAGGTGTCTGTGTGTGTGGAGTCTGTACATTCTCCCCCTGTGTGCATGGGTTTCCACCTGGTGCTCTGGTTTCCTCCCACAATTGAACAATGTGCAGGTTAGGTGGACTGGCCATGCTAAATTACCCATAGTGTCCAGGGATATACAGGATAGGTGGATTAATCATTGTAAATGTGAGTTTACAGGAATAGGCTGAAGGGCTAGATCTGGGTGGGATGATTGTCAGAGGGTTGCTGCAGACTTGATGGGCCAAGTAGCCTCTATCTGCACTGCAGGGATTCTATCAAATATTAGGAATTTTATTAAATTCTTTATTCATTCATGGGATGAGGTCATTGCTGTCCAGGCAGCATTTAATGCCCATCTCTAATTGCCCAGACGGCTGTTAAGAGTCAACCACATTGCTGTGGGTCTGGAATCACACATAGGCCAGACCAGGTAAGGATGGCAGTTTCATTCCCTATAGTACATTAGTGAACAAGATGGGTTTTTCCAATAATTGGCAATGGATTCACGGTCAGACTCTTAATTCAGTTTTTATTTATTGAATTCAAATTCCACCATCTGCCTTGGTGTGATTAGAACTCAGGTCCACAGAACATTATCTGTGTCTCTGGATTAACAGTCCAGTGATAATACCACTAGGCCATCACCTTCCAATGTACAATAAACTGTAATTGTGTTTACGATCCAATCATAATGTGTATATTTGTGCAAGAAATGTAGAACATTTTCTATAACTCTATATAAATTTCTATATAAATTTGGCATGGTGTTGCACAGGGGAGTTAAGTCCCAATGTAGTCTTCATGCAAGTAGAATTAGAGGGCAGGGTAGGGGTTGGTAATAGGAAATTGGATCACAGAACTTAATAATTCACTAGCCATTATAAAGTTCAACATTCTGTCCTTATTTTAAATAATGCTTTTTTTTTCTTATTAATAAAACGTGGCAGTTTAAGAATCAAAGAAAGAGTTGGTTGATGCATAGGACTTTCACTGAAATCCATGTTCAGGAGTTGGGTGAGATGCAACTCAAAAGCACCATCACTGGTGGAAGTGAGTAATTGCAATTTGAAAAGCAGTGTTGGGAATGGGTGGTAGTGCAAGTTGATATTAGCAGTCATTACCGGCCGCCAAAGAAGTTACAGACAGGCTGAATTGTGTGTTAAACTGCCCAAGATTTCCTCCTAGTGGCTTGATGAAAAATCATCTGACATCAAAACACAGTTAACAGTGGATCAGATCTATCACAATTAGAAACAAGTAACTAATGTAATTGCTGTATCATAGCAAAAGTATCCAATATTTTAAAGGTATACCCGTGAAATTGATCTGACAATGTAAAAAATATTTGTACCATACCTTGACATTGCAGGAGATTTTTTCTACAAGCTCATCACATTCCTTGGTTTGCGCTTTCGTAAGTACAGCCAAACATTTTCTAAAATCATCAGTATTGTTGTGTGATAGTTCTGTCAGAAAACCACTGAAGTGAATGCAACTTGCTATAATCTCCAACTTTTCTCTACAGGACAAATTCTTGGACTTCTTGATATGTTCTGGATAACTTCAAGGACAAAAATAACAAGAATATATTAATTCTAGGAATATAAACAGTAAAGAGCACCATTATTCAGACTAAATATTGTTTGAGTGATAAAGACACTCCAGATTTCCCATTATAGTTGAAGAAGCATGCCCATGTGTGCCTGAATTCCTGCTATCACTGGCAGGAAGGGCTCCATAATATTATTCACCAGAAGTTTGAGAATGAGTTGTTGGTAAAGAGTGGAAGATTTGTTGATATAATGGAATATGTCTTACCGTAGAGATATATAGGAACTGTTAAAAAACATGAATGGAAACTAGTGAAAAATAATTTGAAGCTCTACATAGTAATGGTTTAGTACAATTGTACATTTTGGGAAAATAAAATAAAATAAAATAAATTTATGACTTCAGCTGGCATCATAGACTTGCAAAATTATTTTTGAGAGTTTTAGATTTTTTGAGTTTCAGAGCGGTTCTGATGAAGAGTCATCTAGACTCAAACATTAGCTTGTTCTCTCTCCATGGATGTTGTCTGACCCGCTGTGATCTCCAGCATTTGTTGTTTTCAGTACAGCTTCCAGCATCTGCAGTAATTTGCCCCGAACTTATGATTAAAGAAGATCGGGTTTATATGGTAGATATTAATCAGATTATCTTGTTATTTATCTCTTCTCATCATTAATTTTTGTTTAAGTTATAAACTTAGTGTCTAAGATCTGTTAGGTACAAAGTCTGGGTTAGGAACAACTGGACAATTTTGAGGGTGACTTATTTTTACTTCACTTTATTTTGTTCTGTGAATTCAGTGATAGTGAGGCTGATTTTGGTTTGACTGGCTATTTCTGTTGTAACACAAAGTCGTTGATTGGTTGAGAATGTTGTGGATTGTTTCAGCAGCTATGATGGAATTTGTCATAGCTGTCAAAATGTGAGCAGAGTTTTCAAAGCAGGTTGCAGGATGTGAATTGGCCTGAAGCCTCCTCACCCAGATGGAATCTCTTAATAAAAATATTTCTTGTCTTCAGCTTTGTAGTTGCAGAGCATCAAGAAAGAGCCAAATAATCATAACATTGAATTAGCACAGTGTGAGAGAGGTACGTATTTGACTGAGCATTTTCCTCATATGTCAGCTGATGATTTAACTATGAGAAAGCCAAGTTTAAAATAAAAGATGTTGGGCAGAATTTTACAAGGGTGTGGACTGCTCCACCCCTTGTAGGAAAATCAATCAATTTTCCTTCTAATTTTATTTTCTTCTGTGCAAACCTCCAAGTTCAGTCCATTGCAGGGATCTCTGAATCTGGACGTCAATGCTGAGAACAATGTCAGAACACTGGCATGCATGGATGCTCAGAGGCAGCTGCATGGCCAGACTAATTACCGTAGAACATAATACCTATTCCAGCCTGGTAATGCTAGAATCAGTCGAGCTTTAACAAGCTTAATTAGCCCTTAATTAATTACTTAGATATAGTGGGTGGGTTGAGATTTTGGCATCTGTCCACCCTCCATATTAGGGGTGAACTCAATGTTGGATGGGAAAATAGTGGGCTGATAACTGCCCTATGTTATGTGTCCTCCCCTCAACTGCTGAAATCCCACTACACAGGGGCATGTAACATCCAGACTATGGTTTCAGGTATAGCAATGATCTTACCTCAGTAAGAAATCATGAGTTGGGCAGCACAAACACTTTGAATTCGCAATGTTATTGCTTCACTAATCTGTTGAGCTTTTACTATGAAATAGTTCATTTCCTGTATGTGCAACAAAAAGGAATTATAAAAGCAAAAGCATAGAGTTATAGAGTCATAGAGTTGTACAGCACGGAAACAGACTCTTCGGTCCAACTCACCCATACCAACCAGATATCCTAAATTAATCTAGTCCCATTTGCCAGCACTTGGCCCATATCCCTCTAAACGCTTCCTATTCATATACTCATTCGGATGCCTTCTAAATGTTCTAATTCTACCAGTTTCTCTGGCAGCTCATTCCATACACGCTACAACTTCTGCGTGAAAAGGTTGCCCCTCAGGTCCCTTTTAAATATTTCCCCTCTCACCTTAAACCTACGCCGTCTAGGTTTCGACTCCCCCACCCTGGGAAAAAAAGATCTTGGCTATTCACCCTATCCATGCCCCCCATGATTTTATAAACTTCTATGAGGTCAACCCCTCAGTCTCCTATGCTCCAGGAAAATAGCCCCAGCCTTTCCCTATAGCACAAACTCTCCAAACCCAGCAACATCCTTTTCTGCACCCTCTCAAATTTTGCTTTTGGATGACAGTATTCGGTTACACGATACGGTAAATTATCAATGTGTCACATAGTAGTTGGGTCCTCTGTTGAAGTTGAAATTTGTTCCAGTCTGCTTTGACTGGATTCTGAAAGATCACCCTGTGGGGCATTGAGTTTATGAGCCCCTCCCCCCCACCACAACCACATGCTGTGAGCTCTCTCATGTTATGTATTGATGCACCGTATCAACAACCCTCTGACAGATGTGAACTAACCAAAAATATGCCATCCATTTCAAATGACTTCATTCTTGTAATGTAGAAAATACAGGAGCCAATTAATACATAGCAAGATTCCACATTGAATTAATATAATGAATTAAACACTCAAATAATTTCTTTCACTGATGTTGGTTGAAGGATAAATATCGTTCAGATAAAACAATGTTGACTATTTGAAGAGATAGTAAGATTTGCAGATGCTGGAGTGAGAGATAACAAAGTGTGGAGCTGGAGTAACACAGCAGGCCAGGCAGCATCAGAGGAGCAGGAAAGTTGACATCTCAGGTCAGGACCCTCCTTCAAAAATGGGGAGGGGCAAGGGAGCTCAGAAACAAAAAGAAAGAGGAGGGGTGGGGCTGGGGAAGATAGGTGGGATGGTGATAGGTGAGTGCAGGTAGGGAGTGGTGGGGACTAGTCAGTGAGGCAGGAGGGGCCTGAAGAAGGGTCCTGACCCGAAATGTCAACTTGACTATTTGAAGGATATTTTATGCTTGACAAATGTATTTACTTTTTTTTGTGGATTTAAATCATGAGATGGATAAATCATGTAGTGTGCCTGGATTTCCAAATGGAATTTGACGAGGTTAAAATGAAAGGTACGAGTTCACAGAGTTTGGGTGGGGTAATATATTAGCACAGGCACAGGCAAAAGCAAAAGCAAAGAGTGGATATAAAAGGGGCACTATCATGTTGACAGGCTGTGGCCCAAGGATCAGTACTGGGGCCTCAGATTTTTACAATCTACAATCTATTTACAATCTATGTTGATGACTTTGGTGGATAAAAACAGGGTGTAATAGAAGTTTGTTGGTAATACAAAAAGAAGCATAAATATAAGGTGTGTGGAAGACACAGAGGTAACAGTTTAAGTGAGTGTGCAACAAGTGTTATATAGATTATACTGAAGTCTTTCAACAAATCTTTTTATAATTGTACCAAGTGTTTATTCTGGCATATTGATGAATACAGTGATTAAAAGTAATTGTAAGGTAAATTAAATTGGTTGGCTATGTTAAGAACAAAACAAATGCATTAATTTGGATACAATTTTTCCTCCTCTGGAGGTCACAACACAGGAGGCCATAAGGGAAAATAATTAGGAGCAAAAACAGAAGTTGCTGGAAAAGGTCGGCAAGTCTGGCAGAATCTGTGAAGAAAAATCAGATTTAATGTTTCAAAACGTTTACTCTGATGTTTTCTTCACAGATGCTGCCAGACCTGCGGAGCTTATCCAGCAACTTCTGTTTTTGTTCCTGATTTACAGCATCTGCAGTCCTTTTGGAAAATAATTGGCTGAGCTAGCCATGGAGAGAAACTCATCTCCTTCTTCCTGCCTCAGCGAGTAAGTGCAGGATGAGATGGCCAAATAGCTTTTCTCAGCTCGCCAGCAATTAAGGCCCTCACACAATCAACTTATGTCCACTTAAGGGCCTCAACCTGCCACCTCCTTGGTTGGTGAGAAAGATGGCTTATTTCTCAACTGGGAAACCATGGTGACCTGCCTGCCAAATTAAGGAGGTGGACAGCCTCCAACTGTCCAATCTGGAGGCAATGAGGCACATGAATGCCCTTAGAAAGCCACCAAATGTCTTTGTCTTACTCCTCCTGACCATGCTCCTTTCCTGCACTCCACTCTGTGACAAGGAGATAAAAATGACTACTTTTTGCTGCTGATTTTCCCAGGAAGTATTCCTTAATCAGTGAATATCATGACCCTGATTCGCTGACAGCTTCTGGTGACAGGGTCAGCAGTGTCAAGGCCTGTGGTAAGGTGAGAAACTCACCCTCACTCACCTACTAGCCAGCTTTTAATGTGATAATTGGCAGGCGATACTGTGACATCTCACTGGTGGGCAGGGGAGGAGGGGAGGAGGGGTGTGGTGGCATGTTAGTCCCCACCTAACACTCTTCTAAAAATTGGAAAATTTGCATCCTATGAATTTTATAAATGTTTTAATTGTCCTACATACGAAACTCAATTCTGTTCACTGCAAAGTGTTCACTAAAATGTTACTTAACAAATGGATTTAGTAATAATTAATGAAAGTTTCAATTTATGAAAAAATATAGGAGTGAATTCAGATCTAGAGTCAGGTAATACACTGAAATTTTGAGCAGAAAGTAGATCCAATACCCTACTTTTACCCACACCTTAACAACAATTTGAAGTGTATCGAGAGTGGCAGGAACCCTGCCAGATATACTTTCAATGAAGTCTGTGGACCTATTCTGCAGAAAGTATGTACAGAAATCTAACTTTTAGGCTACATAACGAAAAAATAAAATGAAATTCTATCGTAGAGGAATTGGTGTACTTTTGATTCATGGGAACTAAAACTATCTTCCTTCTTCAGTTCAATTGTCCTGTTGAAACCTTTCCTAGAGGAAGGGTTCTTCTCTGCTCCTGCATTAAGGACTTCTGAATATGACAATAATGCCACAACTCATCCTTTAGGATTTGGAATGAAGTCATAGAGAGGTCGAAATTAAGCAATGAACAAGAATTTTAAACTACCAGATTGCTGATGGTGCAATGGATGTATCACAATTTCTACCCCATAATTCTTACCTTGCATGAACTAAATATTTTTAGTATGCATTTTCATACCATAAGACTGTGTTTAATTTCTTTGTCGAGCAAAAACATATAAGCTGAGAGTTAACATGCTAGCCAGAGGTAGTGAGTTACATTCCCACTCCAAACACTAACAACTTATCATTGAAAGTTTAAGTAGAATTTGGGTACTGAAGACTTGAGTTCTGCATACTTGAACAAGCATAAAATGCCTAATTAGTAAATGTTCATACCGTTGCAAAGCTATTCATTCACCTTTTAATGCAGACTGAGGACGTCACTTATGTTAAAAAGGCCATAGTTCTGAGAAGGTGTGTCGT